CCACAGCTTGTATTCTGTTGGGGCAGCAGACAGTAAATAAGTATGTGATAGATTGTTATGCTCTGAAGAAAAATAAAACAAAATAAGGACTAGAGTGATAAGAGCAGACAAGGAAGGTCTCTGTAAGGAGGTTGCATTTGAGCAGGGACCTGTGTGAAGTGAGGGAATGAGGGGAGCAAGTAAGGTAGAGAAGGGGAGGAAGGGAAGCCCCACGATAGGGGCAGGAGTGAGATCAGGAAGGGCCTTGAAAGGCCATAGAGAGGACTTCGGGTTTTCCTCTGAATGGGATGGCAAACCATAGGAGTGATTTGAGCAAAGGGTGTCATAATCTGCTTTGGGTTTTTCGATGATTGCTTTGGTTGCTAGCCGGAGAACAGCTAACAGAACAGGAGTGGAGCCCAGGAAACCTTGTAGAAGGCTCTTATAATAGTCTTAGGCTTTCTTTTTTTTCACTTTCACGTTGAAATAATTTCAGACATTAAAGAAGTTATAAAATAGTGCAGAGTCCTATACATCCTTCATCCATATTCCCCAAATGTTAACATCTTTGAAAACTACAGTACAAATGTCAAAATCAGGAAATTAACATTGATACAATACTATTCTACAGACCTTACTCACATTTTTTCCAGTTATCCTGCTAATAACCTTTTTCTGATTCAGAATTCAACCCAGGACCACACATTCATTTGGTTATAATATCTCCTTAGTTTCCTTTAACCTAGAATAGTTCCTCAGTCTTTTTTTGTCATTCATGACCTTGGCATTTTTGAGTACTAGCCAGAATGTCCCTCCTTTGTAGAATGTCCTTCCATTTGAGTTTGTCTGATGTTTCCTCATGGTTAAATTCAAGTTATGCATTTTTGATAAGAATACCACAAAAATGACGTTGTGTCCTTGTCAGTGCATCATATCAGATGCATGATGTTGATTTGTTCTGCCCTGGAGATGTTAACTTTAATCATTTGGTTAGGGTACTGTCTGCCAGGTTTCTCCACTTAATCACCCTTTGTAATTCATAAGTATTTTATGAGGAAATACTTTGAAACTGTGTAAATATTCTGTTTTTCATCATATTTCTGCCCAGTAATTTTATTCATGATTCTTACCAGAAACAGTTATGATTATAGTGTTTGCCAAATTTGTGGGTTTTTTATTACCGTAATAACTTCCACACTGTTTGGTTGGAATTGTACCATAAGGAAAAACTTTCACTTCTCCCCCATGTATTTATTCAGTTGATTGTATTGATTTGGATCCAAAAGTTTTTATTTATTTCTGTGTGAGAATTTGTTACTACCATTTATTTATCTTGTTGCTCAAATTGTCCCCAGTTTGGCTGTTGGGAACCCCTTCGCATTGCTTCCTGTCTCCTTTTCACATGTCCCCATCATCTTTTGAGCAAGTCGTACTTTATGGTACCATATGATGTTCCTGGCTTATTTTGTATACTCCTTGCCTCAGCCCTAGATTCAACTATCCAAATAACCCTTATTCCTTTTATTACAGAATAGTAATTAGAAGGCAAAATCTGGGTGCTATGTGTGCTTATTATTAATGGGGTGTCATTGCTTCTTGGCCCTCTCACTAGACAGAGCTAGAAAATATATATATGTGTATTCACACATCTATAACTATTTCTATATCTTGGATGTGTGTGCTTGTACACACACCTGACTCCATACTGATATTTCAAATTCAGATCTAACCCCGGAGAGTTTATTCTAAACTTCCCTCCTTATTTGTAACTCCTATTATAATAGTGAGAATCTCAGCCTTTATTATCCTCAGTACATTTCTTAGTTGCTCAATCCTAAATACACATTAGAATAGTGTCAGACTTGCTAACCTGTATAACCTGTATCCCTGTGAAGTACAAACCTACTAACTAGAGTACCATATTTGTGTACAAGTCTTTTTATATTTAGCCTTAAACTATACAATTGAACTACCATTTTCCAAAGCTACTTTTGTCAGTTCTCCTCCTGCTCCCCTTCAGTGTGGTTGTATCATTCATTTATAATACAGCTAGGTTCACTTGTTTCTGTTTATATTCCATTTGGGGTCCATCACTACCCCACACTCCTGGTTGATTTTAATTATTCACTTGTTTTTGAATATGTGAAACATTAACATGGTTCCCAAACTCAGAATCAAACAAAAAAATGTACTCAGAAAAGTGTTAATCTCTTTCATCCCTCTCTATTTCCATTTCCCAGCTGCTCCCACACACCTGCTTTTAGTTAACAAATCTCATTCGTTACTCATCGACCCTTTTTCCTTAGCTGAGAGGTAGCATAATGTAGATATTCTTTTGCATTTTGCCTTTTTCACTTTACAGTATATCCTGTAAATCACTTCATATCTATCCAAGAGTTCTTGTTCATTCTTCATAGCAGCGTAGTACTCAGTGAATGTACCATAGTTTATTCACCTACTCTCTCATACAAGCATTTAGGTTGTTCCCAATATTTTGGAATTTCAGACAATGCTGGAATGAACAGCCTTGTGCATGTGTATTTCTGTGGGTGTGGAGACAGTATCTTTGAGACAAATTCCCAGAAGTGAGATTGCTGGATTAAAAGCTAAGCGCATATGTAGTTTTGTTGGATATGGCTTTCCACGTTTTACTAGTTTGCATTTTCATCAGCAATGTATGAGAATGCCTTCTTCCCCCATAGCCTTTATAACAAAACATGTGTCAGACTTTTTAATTTTCCAGGCAAGAATTTTGACAGTGGCTCATACAAGGGTGGTAGCAGTAGAGGTGGTGAAAAGTGCTTAGATTCTAGATATATTTTGGAGAAAAAATCAATTCAGAGTTTATAATGGATTGCTTTGGAGGCTAATGCAACAATTTTCTGACCAGGGTTCTCTCCAATTCTGTTTAAATATTAGGCATCAATATTTACAGTCTAAACCAGTAACTTCTTTTCATTTCTCTGACATTTATGAAGCTTTTGCCGATTCTCATCTTTCTCTTGGGCCAGGCTTATTATAATATTCCAGTAAACATATGGCATTGTAATAGGTAATGCTAACTACTCTTAACAAATAATTTTCAGTATTTCAGTGGCTTAATGCTGCTGAAGTTTATTTCTCACTCATGTAACAATCCAATGCCAGTGTTCCTGATTTACAGGTCTTTTCTGGTGATTCAGGGACCCGGGCTCCTTCTAGAATTTCTCATGCCATGAGGTTTCAGAGTCCTCTAGGAGGAAGTGTAAAGAGACAGTGGAAAAGGGATATCTTAACTGCCTGGCCTACAGGCAATGCATGTTACTTCCTCATACTTTCTGGGTTCCATGGCTGAGGACTGGTCCCATGCCCCCTAGATTCAGGAGGGCCCAGTAAATGTGGTCCCTGCAGGACAGCAGCTTTCCAGGGAGCACTGTATATATGGAAGGGGGCATATGAATTTAGGTGAACAATTAGCTAACTGCCACAGATATTGAACAAAGTCAGCCATTTGGGTACTGTGTGGAAATAAACATTTTGCAGGATGGAATGTATATGCTGAAGTATTACATTCTAAAATTCTGAAAGAAGCTTTAAAAAAAAAGGTATATGGAGTTTAATAGCAGGGAAAGAAAATGAGTTATACAGAAGGAGAAAATATTCAGCTTTGAAAAGCTAAGTAAACATAGCAGAACATTTCCGAATAACAAGATTTGTGGATGAAAACAAAGACTTTTGTGTTTTCATTCATCTGCTCCTTCATTCATTCAACAGACAACACTAGACCCTGTTTGCTGCTGGCTCTGTGCTTGAAGCTGTTATGGATGGGGTTGAGGGGCGGCAAGTGGTGAGGGAAGAGGAGATGGGAGCTGCACTGGGTGGTTACTGCATGTGCCCTGGGGGAGGTGATGTGTATTCTTACATGGACAGGAATATATTCAAGCAGAATGTTGTGCAGGTATGAGAAGAAGCCATTAAGCATAATTCAGAATAGTGAGGGTTTTTTTTTCCCTTTTGGTCTTCTGAGACAATTATATGAGAGAAACTTTCCTAAAAGCTTTTAAAGTGCAGTACTTCATTAGAACAAACTGATAATCTGAATAGGAAAAATGTCAGATTCCAAGAAATAAGCTATTTTATGTTCTTTTCAGAATACAATATTTTTTAATAAGGTAAAAAGTTAGTCTTTCTCACATTCTTAAGTATTTGTAGGCTTTGCATTCAATTTATATGGAAAAAGTTGTTATTTTTCTCAGTGCACAAGGAGTTTGATTTATAAGAGGACTGCCAGAGAAGAAAATCTGTCATCATATTTTATAGCCACACCGCTAGAGTAATGCTAATAACCAACATCTGTACTGCACACCACAGTCTACAGAGGGTCCTACGTAATTGATCCGATCTAATTCTCACCGTAATCCTGTGAAGTAGGTAATGGCTGGGTTGATGTTATCACTGTAGTAGTCACAGTCGTATTACCATCCTCCCCATTTTATAGTTGAGGAAACTGACACTCAAGGATGTAGGTAATTTGCCCAGAATCTGTAAACTTATATTCCCAAAGAGAGAAAATAAATTTTAAGTTCTGATATTATAGTCTATTTATATCTGTGTTCAAGAATAAAAAAGCTAATTGAGATTTTTAAACCCCATTTACTTCTTATCTCTTATTGTTGGGGTGGGAAGTAGACAGCAGTTAAGAAAATATGGTTAATATTTCCAAACAGTGCAATATTTTCCATTCTTCTTAGAATTATGCCCGTTGTTTGAAGGTCAATTAATTGCCATCTTCATTTCCCTTTGGTCTTTACAGTAATTCATTGTATAGTACATTAAATTTGGGAGAAAATAATGCTTAAAGGGTGGGACTTCATTCTTGGAGCCAATTTTTTTCTCTTTTGAGACTTAGTTGTTTGTTCTTTCAACAAAAATGTATTGTATGCCAGGAACTGCGCTAGATCCTAACTCCTTTGCTTTCACATTTTATTGGTGAATAATACTATTACTTTGTGACTAATGTCCAGCTGGCTCTGTTCTCTCAGGTGGGGTGACTGCTCTCTGTTGGGACCCCGTCCAGCGAGTGTTGTTCTCGGGCAGCTCAGATCACTCTGTAATCATGTGGGACATCGGTGGGAGAAAAGGAACAGCCATCGAGCTCCAAGGACACAAGTAAGACTGCTGGTGCTTTTATAAAGAACACTGAGAAAAGATTCCCAGCCGAAAGCTAGAACAAAGGAGTGCGGGCCAGTCTCCATGGCAGGATCTCAGCGTGGGAAGGAACATGGCAGGAACGCAAATAATAGCCACTTTGATTTACATCTGTACATCTGTTTATTTATTTATACTCCATCTTATTCCACAGAGGATCTGAGAGTGCTTACAAAAAACCGTAAAATAAAATAATGGCAGCAAATAAAGAAAAGGTAAAAATTAGAACCGGAAAGAATATAAGAGTCAAAATTTGAGAATGAGGGAAAAATGAGCTTAAAAATAGGAAGGCCCACAGAATTTCTTAATTGAGTTCCAATGTGGCTCTAAGATTCCTGGCAGCTAGAGGAAAGAGAGAAATCATATCCTTCCTTACACAGTACATTTTGTACTTCACCAAATATTTATTGAGTTCTCGCCTGGATTCATATCAGGCTCTTCTTCCTTCAGGGACAGTTTCAGGGGCCTGGGAGGAAGAGCAGGGAGAGCTTTGTGTTTCCTTGGAGCTGTTCTCAAACTTTGCGGTACACAAAGAATCACCAAGGAGTTTGTTAAAAAGTAGCTTTCTGGGCCCTGTCTTCTGAGATCTGGTCGCTGTCTGGAGCTTCGGGCGTCTGTGTCGTAACCAGCCTCCCAGGCGGCTCTCTGCTGGTGACCCTCAGACCACACTCCAACTTGTTCCGCATGTGCTGCCCACAGTCCCTGGGGGCAAGGCCTAATCATGTTGTAGGAAGGAATTTTAGATCTCTTTAGAACACTCAAGCTGTTCTGAATTGTTTAAACTTGTAAAGTTTTCAAAATGCTATTAAGAATGACTCTAGACAGCCATGAACAAATGTCAGTCCTGCTCCCATGAACTGACTGGTTTTAAGCAACATTAGCTCTGCCTGTAAATCTGCGTGGAAACACTAGTTTTAAAATAGCCTCCCCAGTTAAATCTACAGTTTGGGATTATTGGATATCAGTGAATTCAATTTTAGACAGCCCATGCAAAAATAATTATTTTAATGTTAGAGTTTAGTTTTAGAGAAGTAGCTGGTCAGCCCTTCTTTCCCACGTTAGAGAACAGATCAGTTGTCTGGGGCTACACCTGGCTTGTGGGTCACTTGGACCTTGTCATCAGCACATTAGAGGGGTCGTTCTCTTATATTTATCTCCATGACATGGACACACATCGAGATCTTGTAGAAGGAGTTGACATCATCTATGTAAGTGAAGAGAAAGAGAAGCCAAAAACAGTCTTCTTTAATAACACTCAATTATCTAATCTGCCAGGTAATTCCTGCTGCTTTGGACTCTCAGAGAAATAAAACGCAGGTTTTGAATGAAGATCAGTAATATTTATTGGACTCATTCAGATTAGCTCATAATTAGCTTTATTCTTACACAGTGGTTAATAAAGGCTGCAAGCAGCCTTGCATGGCCCGTCCACAGGGTGGTGAAGTGTAACAGTGCTTAACACCAGCATCACTGTGTGCTAAGTGCTCTCATGCAGAATGTTGTTCTAGGGAACTTGCACCTATAGTTTGGTAAGAAAGGAAAAGCTACAAAGTTGAGATACAGTCTCTCAGTCCCAGAAAAATGAAAGGTCTTCCAGTTTCTAAGAAATACAGACTTGACCTTTTAGAAAATGGAATAGACCAGACTTGGAGTCCATCCCGAAGGGATCACACCCTTAGAACTTAGGACAGGCAGGCGGTGAGATCAGGAGCCCCCAGTCAGAACTGGCTGTGAACAGGAATAATGGCAGAAGGTATTTTATTTAATTCAAGCTTAGTAATAAAATGAACTCTCTAAAAAGCTCCTTGTCCCCAGGTCTTAGCGTGAGAGGGGTTGCCCCGGGTGTCACAGAGCTAGGAGAAATAAACTTCCTCAGCATCAGTTGCTGTCAGTCTGTTAGAGCGGGTTTGAATGCCTAAGTTGAGGACAGGAAAGCCACTGGAGCTGCTGAAAGTAGGAGAAGGGATTCACAAAGAAGGTGTGGGAAGGAAAGGGCAAGGGCACCCGGCCAGAGAGGAGAAGTCATCAGCCCATTGTCAAAGCAGCCATTCCTTTGCCCTGAAGATTGACCCTGGATTGGTGTTCAGTGATCCCTGTATTTGAATAGCACCTAATACTTTGTCAAAGAGCCTTCAAAACACGCAGACACCTCAGTTTAGTCTTATGATAACCCTGTTAAAGAGAGAAGCCAGATATCATTTCTTAGATGAGCGTACTAGGCTACCATCCTCAAAGACCCCAGCTGGGAGCTTAGGTCTCCCAAACCTTAGGTCCGTTTGAACTAGGAAAGCTATTCAGAACCTTCCTCATGTCCAGAGCTGTGCCAGGCACTGGGGATATGAAAATGAACATTGAGTAACATATGGTATCCCCCTCCCCCCAGGTGCCCCATGGTGTTTTCTGTCTCTTTTCATCTTTAGAGGCCAAGGAGTTTCTACTTGGGGTCCAAGGCTGCCCCTTGCGCTGAACAATTCCTCGTTTTCCCACCTTCCCCCAGGGTGACTGATGGTATCAGAGTTCCAAATCAAGGACCGAATTGGTGAGCTTGGGAACTGGAGAGAGCAGACTGGACAGAGATCCCCACCCCTCAGGATGGGGAGACTGCCTTCCCCTCTTGTGGAAATGTCCAACCATAGTGTAGAGGGACAACTCCATGTGTCTTCTGTCCCAGGTTCTGCTGCTTCATACCATCCTTCAGCAGCAGAAATACGACATTTTTGCAACTAGTTTGATTTGGTGTATAAAACTCCCATCAAAACAAAGAGAGCTTTAGCACTACAGTAAGTGATGGATGACAGCAAAATGTTTCCAAGTCCAAGGGAAAAAAGCTAAGAAAGTATACTTCTATACAATATTATCTGCGTTGGAAGCATTTTGGTGTTTTTATTCCCTGCAGCAAGTGGAACCATGATTATATGTTAGCTCTGTGGAAGGAAAGGCAAAGAAAAGATTCCAGTTTCAGGGCCAGTTATGTTTTTTCAAGTATTAGTTACCAGTTGGATGGATATTACAGAAGCGTAGACCTGGATATTTATTGTCCCATACCCACCTTGGCAAATCTAATAATGGTACTTGGGCTTTTTAGGTCCTTTTTTATTCTCTGATAATATCTATCATTCCACGACCAACTTTTTGACCGTAATTTTTCTTTCTAGCAGTGTTTTCTTAGGCTTCTAAGACTTTTTAGCAACTTAATTTAATAGTAACATAATTTAAAGCACAGGTAAAGGGCTGTGTGGTCCCTTGTGATGGGACACTCCACCAAGACTGGGATCCGCATGTTGCATGAGGCTGTGGCACAGCCAGGCCCTGGGCACATGTGGCCTGTGTATTTGCTGCTTCTTTCCACAATCCCAGGGCTTGGTTTCTCTCTCCCTACTCTTCCATGTGTAAGATTTTTGTTATAAGCATCCTCAAAGCCTTTTGGTAAAGAAATAGGCTATTCATAAATAAATATACACTGGAAGAATTTGTGCTCTTCCCTCTTATATCAAGTAAATTGCATGTAAAGTTATGAAAGAAGTAGAATTCTTGCATTCAGCTTCTTCTGGGTTTTGAAGAGGGAGGGCAAAGATCAATATGTATGAAAGCTTTCTCTCCTTCCGAATCTGAGAGTTAGGAGCATTTCTCACTGTAGCACTGGAGAATTATCAGGATAGAGAAGAGATGTCTTTTCTATTTTTAATTTAGCTAAACACATAATAGAACACAGTATAAGAAATTAGAGTCCTCATCTTGTTAAAGACAGAGGGCCTGTGTAGTGTGTCATTAAGTGCTGGCCTCTGAGTCAGGCCAAGCTGTGTTTGAGCCAGCCCTTCTGCTAATGGCTACATAGGCTTAGGCTAGGTACTTCATCTCTCTGATCTCAGTTTCCTTATCTCTAAAATAAGGGTAATGTTGGAAAGAAAAACCCTCAAAGGTTATCAAAAAACATAAATGATATAATGCATGTAAAATAATCAACACAAGAGTAAGGGCCAGTAAGTGGCAGTTGTTAAAATTATTCCTGTTAATGAAAATTATAATAATTCAAAAATCAAGCTCTTGGATATGATTACTGTTTCTCCTTGATTGTAGCATTTACTATGGAAATATTGCCACATACACCTCCTCCTTTTATTCATAATACATCCAACAAATGTTTAGTGAGCTCCAGCTACATACCAGACTTTGTGTTAGGCACTTAGGACATAAAGGTGGGACAGTTGGCCAGTTTTACTAGAAAGTGAGAGGCTCAGTGGGGGAGTGACTCTTGATTTGGATCTTAGGAGGTAAAGAGATTCTCATGGTTGTCAGGATCAGGATGTTACTCAAAACAGAACACATGAAAACACTAAATATAGTGTTTTCAGGAAATTGCAAGTGAGAGCTGGTGGCTAATCTGAACTTCCACCCTAGTCTCTGAACAGCAAAATGTTGCTGATCTCACACCAGTGCTCCCGGACAGAGGTCCCTGAGTTTGGGTTCAGGCTGGCTGCGGTCCACAGATCCCTGGGGAAGCAGATCCCTCTCAGGTCCCTTTGGTGTGTGGTGACCCTGGGTATCAGTTATCCAAGAGACCTCACACGTGTGGATTGCTTATGAACCTTCTCTGGTCCTTGGAGGTTTGGAAAACTTATGAATATGGGAGTTCTGAATATAAGAGAGCGAGATATCTGGTAGCAGATGCATAACTAATCAGATTTATACCAGGTAACCCAGGACTTTTCATCAAAGAAATGAAAGATACTATACATTTAAGTCCCTCCTACTCTTAGGAGATGGAAGAGGGCCTACGTTGACATCTGGGAAGATGTTAGCCTATATCTGAAAATCTGTTTCTATGAAGAGGATAAAGGCTTCTCTACCCTTTCTCCTTAAGAAGCCTCAGGCCCAGGACCAGCTTCCTGGGCATGTTTCCTGTGCAGTTGCTCAAGGCCCTATGCTTAGGAGGGCCTCATGCTTGGTTTAATTCTCTGCTG